ATTAATTCATAGTGACATTTGTGATTTTAAATCAATTCAAACTAGAGGTGAGAAAAAATATTTTATCACTTTCAGAGATAACTATACTAGATACAGTTATGTTTATTTAATTCAAACTAATGATGAAACTTTGGAAACTTTCATTCAATACAAGAATGAAGTTGAAAATCAACTTGATAAGAAAATTAAAAAAACTTAGAAGTGATAGAGATGGTGAATATGAATCACCTTTTGGTGAATTTTGTAAAAAACATGGAATAATTCATCAAACCACCGCTCTTTACTCACCTCAGCAAAATAGAATTGCTAAAAGAAAAAATAGGACTTTAAAAGAAATGATGAATGTTATGTTAATTAGTTCTGAATTACCTCAGAGCTGGTGGGGAAGCAATACTTTCTGCTAATTATATACTTAATAAAGTATTCCAAAAGAAAATGAATCAAACACCTTATGAAATGTAGCATAGGAGAGTACCATCGTACAAATATTTAAAAGTGTGGGGTGTTTGGCTAAAGTGGCTATTTTTAGTCCTAAAAAGACTAAGATAGGTCCTAAAATAGTTGATTGTATTTTTGTTGGTTATGCCAAGAATAGGAGTACATATCGATTTTTGATTCATAAGTCAGAACATTTCGAAATGCATGTAAATACTATTATTGAATCTCGAAATGTATCTTTTTTTGAACATGTGTTTCCAAATAAAACTGGACAAGAGACTAGTACTAAAAAAAGATCTTATGATGCTATTACTAATCAGGATCAAGAACATAATCAAGAACAAGAACAATAACAAGAACAAGAGATGGATCAAAATGAGGAAAAGGAACCTAGACGTAGTAAACGTGCTAGAACCTCAAAATCTTTTAGTCTAGATTTCCTAACATTTTTGTTAGAAAATGAGCCTTTAATTTTTAAAAAAACTATGTCCAGTCCTAAGGTTCCTTTATGGAAAGAAGTTATAAATAGCGAAGTTGAATCCATTCTGCAAAATCACACTTGGAAATTGGTGGATTTGCCACCAGGTTGTAAACCTCTTGGGTACAAGTGGATTTTCAAAAGAAAAATGAAAGCGGATGGATCAATTGATAAATACAAGGCAAGGCTTGTGGTCAAAGGATTTAGACAAAAGAAGGTCTTGATTACTTTGACACATACTCATCTGTTACTAGAATAATATCCCTTATAATATTAATTGCTATTACATCTCTATACAATCTAGAAATTCATCAAATATGAATGTAAAAATTACTTTTTTAAATGGTGAGTTAGATGAAGAAATTTATATGGGACAACCAGAAAGATTTTTTGTTCTCGGAAAAGAAAAGAAAGTGTGTAAATTGGTTAAATCATTATATGGTTTAAAACAAGCGCTAAAACAATGGCATGAGAAATTTGATAAGGTAATGATGTCAAATGGATTTAAAATTAATGAGTGTGACAAATGTGTTTATATTAAGAACACAAACAATGGTTATGTTATAGTATGTCTTTACGTGGATGATATACTCATCATAGGTAGTAATAATGACATGATTAAAACTACCAAGAAAATGTTAAATAAACATTTTGACATGAAGGACATGGGCATTGCTGATGTAATTCTTGGTATGAAAATTACCAAAACATCAGAAGGTTATGCTTTGTCACAATTACATTACATTGAGAAAATACTTGACAAATTTAACAAAGATGATGATTATCGTGCTAGAATACCTGTGGATGTTAATTTGTTTCTTTCTAAAAATGTACAGGAAAGTATTTCTCAATCAGAGTATGCTCAAATTATTGGAAGCTTAATGTACGTGATGAATTACACTCGCCCGAATATAGCTTATGCAGTAAGTAAATTAAGTAGATATACGAGTAATTCAGGAGTAGAACACTGGAAAACAATTATAAGGGTTCTAAGATACCTCAAATTTACTCGTAACATTAGACTGAATTATATTAGATATCCAGCAGTACTTGAAGGATACTGTGATGCAAACTGGATATCAGATACTAGAGACTCAAAGTCCACCAGTGGATATGTCTTTACTCTTGGTGATGCGGTTGTATCTTGGAAATCTTCCAAATAGACTTGCATTGCTAGGTTTACTATGGAATCAGAATTCATAACTTTAGATAAAGCTGGGGAAGAGGCAGAATGGCTTCGCCACTTCCTTGAAGATATTCCAGTGTGGCCAAAACCGGTGCCTGCTATATGCATACATTGCGATAGTCAATCAACAATAGGTAGAGCACAGAGTCATATGTATAACGGTAAGTCGTGACATATTCGTCGTCGACATAACACTTTAAGACAACTGCTCTCTAATAGAATTATTTCCATTGAATATGTGAAGTCTAAAGACAACATAACGGATCCACTAACCAAATGGTTAGCAAGAGAGCTAGTTGAGAATTCATCGAAGGGAATGAGACTTAAGCTTGTTAAATAAGAGTTACCACAACGGCAACCCAACCTAATTGACTGGAGATCCCAAGATCTAGGTTCAAAGGGACAACCGAGTTATGTATGACTCATAAGGATCACCGGGGAGTTAAACTCCTATCCATTTTTATGATGAAATAGTAATGTCTACAGGGTTTTAGATTAAGTAATACTTTTAATGATTCTTATATCTAGGTATACCTAGTGGAATATGGCAAGATATTCTTTATAAGAATCACCTATATGAGTGTGAACTGGGCCGGTTCTATGAGATTTGTGAAGGACTAAAATTCTCTAGAGCACTTATGAAAAACCAGGTTGTTCAGGGCCAAAATAAACACAATAGTGAGAACTAAACTGTGTCTGGTAATATACTATGTAAGTTCTATTGTCTTGGTTTACACAAATAACTGAACAGTTTAAGACACCATGTTCACTGGTTAGTCAGTAAATTCGATAGTGTCTCACAAGGGAAGGTTCAAAGCCAAAAGCTACCTATCCTTTGCAAAATATTCCCAATTTCTGTACTCTCTGTAATTAGATTATGTTGTTGCATTTTCTCTTTGTCAAATTCCATTCATGTGGGGGATTGTTGGAAAATTTGGTTTTTATAACTTTAAGCCTAAAATTGAATGGGTCCCATACGTTTTTTGGAGTGGGTCTAAAGAGGTGACGTGTTCCTTGCCGCTTGGTAAGTCACATGGTGAAGATGGTTTGTCAAAACCTTTTATGAGTGAATGAGAAGTTGACGTCGTTTTCGGGTTCGTGGAATGGACAAATAAAAGAATAAAATATGGGTTTCCTTGTAAGAGTTGTCCCACATTGAAACTTGAAAAAAACTCATGTGTGTATATAAGTTCTAGGTAACAACACTTGGATTCGGTCCCAAGGGGCACTCCAAGTTTGTAGAAGGGAGGAGTTATAGACAAATAGAACCTTGGCTCAAACCACCACACGCGCGTGCTGCCCCCGCCTTCCATGCGGGGCGCAGGTGTGGGTTGGGTTAGTTCTAATATTAATTTTTTTCCAAAATTCTTAACGAAATTAATTCAAACTTAAATTTAATTTCTTGTCCAATGTTACCTCTTTCAATCCAATTTTTCCAAACAGTTTTTCAGATCTATTGGAACTCGGATAGATTCAAAACTACCCAGCAGTTTCTGGACAGATTCACAACTGCTGCAGTTATCTGTTCAAATTTGAAACTACACCTGTTGAATTCAAAACCTATCTGTTCATTCACAATTCACACCTGTTCGGACATATTGTTTGCCTATAAATAAAGGCTATTTCCAGCAGTCTTTGGCATCCGAAAACAATTGGAAAAAAAAAAAAAATCATTTTTGCTGTCCATTTTGCTCTTTCTTTGTATAATTCTTCATATTAATTTGTAGGGAATACTTTGAGAGTATAGAACACAGGTTTGGTTCGCCATACAAATTGTTTAGAGTGCTGCTACAATTTGTAAAGATCATTGTATCCTGAGAAATAAATGCCATTTTTCCGCAAGCATTGTAGCGGGGCAAATATGTCTTAAGGATAGAATGCCACACGCTCTACTTGATCTTTAAATATTTATTTGGTTCAATAAAATAAATTCTGTAAGTAATTTATTTTATTTGTTTGATTTGTTTCAATTTATTTATTTTACACAGAAGATTATTTTAACAATAATCTGAAGTGTTACTAAGAGAATTCGCAAGCATGCAACTACGTTTATCATGATCAACATCATTATTTAAAGAGTAATAATGTCTCACATGGATGTGAGACCCATACATCCATGTGAGACATTTGGTAAAACTTTTAATAGAATTTTTAGTACTTCTAACATTTTTATTATTTAAAATAGTTTCATTCATTCATAAACTAAACTTGTGTCATCCAGCGACATTGCTCCGTAGCTAGGAGAGTAGACTTTGAAATGGTTAAAGGAGAGCAACTGAACACAAAATTGTTACGATGTCACCAAATCACCCAGAAAATCAAAACTATTTGTATAATGAAGTCCCCATCCCTTTAAAAATGTAAAAATGAACCAACAATTTATGACAAAAGAAGTACATTTTAGTTACACTTTTGAAAACACTCATTCACCCCTTAAATTGACAAAAGCTTACGCTCAAACTGAAATCTATCTATATCACTTAAACAATCGTTTATTCTTTAAATTAACAAACATTTACTCTCAAAATAATATCGAAATTTTTTTATTTCAATTGAACAGTGAGAGGATAATCTCATTGTACGGTAGTATAAATCTCTTGTGTATATAGTGCAAGTGTTTTCAGTATATCAAACTAACACTAAAAAAAAAAAATTTCACAAATAATATAATTATTTTAAGATTGCCTCACTTAAATTCTCTAATAAAATTTATTTTTTTGACTTTTTATTTGGGAATTATTTTTTTTAATATTTTTTTGACTTTTTACATAAAAACAATCTCTAAAAAAGTCAAAAACACAATAAAAAAAAGACAAAAAATTCTTTCCAAATCAAACTTCTTAACTCAAGGCTAAAAAAAAAAAAAAAATTTAAAAAATTAAAAAAAGTCAAAAAAACCAAGCCCCTTCCCAAACGATATAAATTTAGGCATCAAATGGAGATGTCTTGGCCCGGGACAAGTGAATGTGATAGTCACTACATTTCTCCAAACCCTTCACAAACCCTAATGGAGCAAGCGCTGCCGGAGCTTCCGCCCGAGGTGATCTCCGAGATACTGTCTCGACTGCCGGTGAAACCACTCCTCCAATTCAGGTGCGTATCCAAACCATGGTGTTCTCTAATCGACAGCCCTACCTTCATCAAAATGCACCTTCACCGATCCATTCAATCCCGATCCAATCTCTCCCTCATTGTCACTAAGTTGAACTCGAACATCCCAAACCTACTATGCTCCGTACACTTCGATAAGCTGGACATAGATTTTGAGCTCTATCAACCACTCACGTTTGAGAAACGATTGGATCAAGTTTGGAATTTCTGCAATGGCTTGCTCTGTTTGTCTTTCAGAAACGTAGAAGTTGTTTTGTCGAACCCATCAACTCGAAAGTATTTGGAATTACCTCTCTTGCCGATCGAAATCCCAGTGGCTTCCTGTCGTATGTTTGTTGTTTTTTATGGACTTGGGTACGATTCAGTGAGTGATGACTACAAGGTGATGAGGATTACCCAGTTTAATGGTGCTGGTTTTGTGCATTTTGAATCTAAAGTTAGGGTTTATAGTTTAAAATCGGATTATTGGAGGAAAGTTGGTGATTTTCCTCATCACCTTAAACTTGATCCATGCACTGGTTTACTTGTTGGTGGGGCTTTGCATTGGAGTGTGAATCCGAAACCAATGTTGGTTGATGGACCTCGCGCTCTTATTGCATTCGATCTTGGGTCGGAGGAATACCGAATGGTGCCTCTACCCGAGTGTGGGGCTGTCGATTTTCATTTGAAGTTTGCGGTCTTGGATGGATGCCTTTGTGTGCTTCACCATTATCATAAGAAGGGTATTGATTTATGGGTGATGAAGGAGTATGGGGTGAAGGAATCTTGGACTAAATTGATCTACATTGAGAACTCGAACGTAATTAATTGTTTTGCTATTTATTTGGAGCCCTTGGCATATTCAAAGAATGGTAAGAAGGTTCTCTTCCAACATAACTCTCAGAGATTTCTTTGGTATAACTTAGAAAGGAAGACAGTTGAGATGGTTGAGATTTATGGTAAGCCAGACGTTTTGGAAACAACTGTATGCTTGGGTAGCCTTGTTCCACTTGATGGTGGTCGTCTGGATGATAGCAAGGACCAAGCAACAAAAGACAAAAAGAAGAAAAAGGTCTTCAGAAGGTAAACTAAAATCAAGTCATTGTGCCTTATTTGCTTTTGCTATTTTGTAAATGGTGCTTTATTTTGCTTGGCATTGTTTGTCTTAGATGTAATTATGATTCATTAAATAACATGATCGAATATATTATATTGGATGAAAATAGATTTTCTTTATATAGTATACTACTTCTGTGGCACTCTGTGTTGCACGGTAGATCTTGCCCGTGGCATGCACATTTTTTTAGTACGAGTTTTACAACATAGTGTTTCCATAAAAATGTAACTGCAAAGTTAAATGAAAGCAATTTTAGAAGATTTATATAAATCATACAAATTAAACAGAGTTCATAATATACAAAATCTTAGGAGTTAGACAATACATATACTCAAAAAAGTTGACAAGTTTTTAAGAACTAAACATAAAAGTGAAATATTAACTTCACATGTCCGTAAATAAAATTCAAAGATTTGTTATATTGATTTAAGCTCCAAGTACTTAGAATTGTGGTTTCTAAGAAAGTGCTATTTTGTAGAGAAAAAAATGCACACATCAATGTCTGTATTTATAACTACTACTGACATGGTAATATTGTTTGAACATTGATAGGGAGCAAATTCATTTTAAAAATTGTTTGTATTCTATTTATAACATTCTACTGTCAAATTAAATCCATTGGAAACTTGTAAAATAACATGATTAAGAAGATTATTGTTGCATTTGATTTCTTTAATAGCCTGAATTATGCTACTTATCTTCGAGAACCAAGTACAACAATTAGGGTTGTTCATGCACTTGATTCACCAGTCCGAACCAACTCAATCCAAGGCAGTACGGGTGATTCCGATGCAACACACGATTGGCTAGGTTTGTGAATTTATTTGTCTTCAGGTTTCGGTCGGTTTCGGGTTTATAAAATCTTCACCCGTCGAAACTGAACTGATCGAAACATATTTTATTCAAATAATTGTACACGTGGATTGAAAACTGTATGAGGTTGGGATTACGAGCTTATTACATCTCTCTCTGTCTCTATCTCATCATTCTAGATTGTTCATCTCTCTCTCTCTCTCTCTGATCTACAATCTGCAACATTGCAACCAATGACTCCCCTCCGTTCGATCAACCAATCGCACCCTATTCCTCTCTGATCTCCCTCGTCCCCTCCCCCTCTTTGATCTCTCTCAAATTCCTCTTCTAGTCTTCCTTATTCCTTGTATTGAAGATGATGATGATGGCTGTATATGGTAGGTTTATCCAGATTGGCAACATCTTAGCAAGCAACATATTAGAATATTGAGAAGATCATATTATATGACTCAAATCAAGAGACAAGTTTGTTTTTTTATTTTTTGTAAAATAGGTTAGGTTTTGTTTCAGATTGTAAGACCCGCATTCTCATACAAAATGGAAGGAAGCGAAGAAACAGAGAACATATATGCATGTATGGAAAGGAAGGATTGTGATTCACCTTAAATGGTAAAAGAAAGGGTAAATTACACTTTTTCCCCTTTATGTTTTGCTACTTTCCCACTTTGGCTCTAAAAGTTTATTTTTTCCCACTTTGGCCCTTTATGTTTCAAGTTTTTCCGAGTTTACTCGTAAAGCTAACTTGTGTTAAAATTAGACAGAAAGTGACACATTGACAATCATGTGACATAAAAATATTTTGTTATAAATAACTCAAATCTCTAACACAAACTAAAATCCCAATATAATAATATATTTTTTATGTTATGTGACAGTTCTCGTGACATTTTTTTGGGTCTAATTTTGAATAAAATTTAACTTTAAGAATAAATTGAAAAAAACTTGAAACATAAAGGCCAAAGTGAGAAAAAACAAACTTGAAAGGCCAAAGTGAGAAAGTGGCAAAACATGAAGGGGGGAAAAGTGTAATTTACCCTAAAAGAAATAACAGAAGTAGAAAGACATCGTTTCCATTTTGAAATCTAAAGAATGCTAAAAATGTCAAGATAGAAAGGTTAGTAATCATAACTTTAATGTGTATCACAAAATTCATTTAAACTAATTTCATAACCAAGAACACAAATTTAACACAGCAAATATCACAAAAACTAACACATAAGATGCGAGAATTTTGTTGATGCTCTTCTTATTTAGCTTCGTGTTACTTAATCTTTTGTATGTTGGACTTTGTTTCTCTTAGTTATGATTTCCTGTCAAAGAGGTTCAAGCTGCTGCTGCAAGCCACTGTTAGAAGGAGCAAGAAGGTGTTGAGGTAAGCTAATGAATTTCATCTATTATCTTCTAAAGAACTGCCAAGTAAGGACGGTATATCTTTGATTTGACCAAATTTGGCTAGTTTGTGCAATGGCATTCATATATGGATGAGTTTTATATTTGCAAAGATTGGATCGAGTTATTTAATTTGATGCTAGATGCAGTCTTTGAGCATGTGAAAGTAAATGTACACCCATACTACAGATATCTCAAATTGATTTTGGCAATCACTTTGTTTTTGTTTTCTTGGTTTAGCTATTATTTTGAACAACATTTTCTTTCGTAAGGTGTTGGGTGCTTCATGTTACGTTGACATATTTTAATTGTTTGTGCAATTTTTAACTTCTGATTTTTCTTAGTTCCTTTGAACAAGTTTTGGACAGATTTATATGCCACTATTACCCAATTATTTAATTTGTTATGTATATATATATATATAAGTGTAAATCTATACGTAGAATATAACTCAATTATATAAAAGATCCTGTGCATAGCATGGATCACTGTTAGTAAATATAGATATAGATGTGTTTTCATGTCTAATATGGGTCAAATCATGTTATCTTGTTTTTTCTTAAAACCTAATGAATAAAACTGTGCTAATATTCATATTTCATGTTCCATAAAAGTCAAATCATCTAATATGCGTTTTTAAAGACTAAACTTTGAAACTTGGCATTTAGCTTAAAATAGTAAACTGTTTTATAAAGTGCTCCTTTCTCCCACTAGTTGATTTTTCAGTAATCCTATGCGCACATTTGTGAATTATGGTAGTTTATATTATTCATTAAGGATGGTTTAGTCTTTAGGTTGTTAGGGTTTAATTCTATTAGACTATATATATTTGTACTAATTTGATTTACCTTTCAATTAATCAATACACAAGTTTTTTATCATGGTATCAGAACCACGACCCAGATGTTAGCATACCTTTCGCAGGTCATCATTGACCATCACAGCCCCTTTCTCTCTCTCTTTGCAAGGCCGTCGCTGCAGTTCTCTGAGTTCTCTATTCTCTTAGTCGCACTTTGAAGCACTACGCTTTTCCCGGTTGCTGGTTCTGGTCTCTAGGTTGCGTCTTCAACTTGTTTCGACCCATCATCTGGTTCAATCGAAGCTCTTGACAACGTGAAGGACTCTGTCGATGACCTCTTCCTTGGTGATGTAATCGTTGTGAGACGACATCGACCAGATGGTGCTGCAGAGGCATCGATTTCGACCCATTTAGGATTAGGGTTTGAGCAAAAGGAGCTCGAATATGGCGAAGTATGGACTTCTGGTTTTAGGTTCACTCTCTCTCTCTCTCTCGCTCTCTCTGCTCTGCCTTGGTTCTCTCTGATTGATTTTTTGTGGTGATAAGGTTAGTATAAATTTGACCTGATTGATATTTGTGTTGATAAAGGTTATTAAGTTTGACTTGGTTGGTGCTATAATTATAGCAATTGCAATTTTGGTTAGGCACTCTGTTTTGGTTTTACTGTGTTGCTTAATTATAGGATTATGGCTGATGATAAATTGCAAGCTATCATCAATAAGTTAGATGGCACCAATTACTCTTATTGGTCTCATTTAATGAAAAATTTTATAATGGGTAAAGGCATGTGGAACTATGTGATTGGTGTGACTATTAGACCTACGGAATCTCAAGAAACTGAGGCTAATGTTGCTAAAAGGGATAAGGAAAATGCACAAATTCTTACTTGGTTTCATAATTCAGTTCAAACTACCATTGGTATGAATTTTTCTAAGTATTCTACTTCTAAACAAGTTTGGGACTATTTGAAAATCATGTATCTTGAGTCTAACTTTGCAAAACAGTATGAACTTGAGATGTCTATTCGTAGTGCTAGTCAGAAAAATAAGTCCATTAAGGAGTTTTGCAATGAGATGACTACTTATTGGGATTAGCTTGCTTTAATGGAACCATCGGATTTGCAGTTACTTGACAGTTATACCAAGTATCGGGAGAAGTAACATCTTGTTCAATTTCTTATTGCCCTTGGTGATTAATTTGAGCCACTTCAGGGAGCTATTCTTTATCAGTCTCCCTTGCCTTATATGGATGGTGTTGTTCACGAGCTTATTGCGGAAGAAACTCGGTTTAAGATGGCTTATGGTGCTCCTGCTTCTCAATTAGTTTTTGCCACTCCTCCGCTGTTGCCCACCCCACATTCTCCTTTATTTTAGATTACTGGTAAGCCCAAGTCTCGGATTTCTATAGGTGAGTGCAGCTTCTGTCATCAGAAAGGCCATTGGAAACATGCTTATCCTAAACTTTTGCAGCCTAAGGGTTGTTCATTTGGTCCACCATCCTCTAAGCCGACATCTTCGGGATCTTACTCATCTGCTGCCTTTTCTGCACTAGTTTTTGAGAATGGTTCGTTTTCCAATATGTAGTCTATGTTTGAGTAGTTCAAGTTTTTCATGGTGGCCAATCCAAATCTTTCATCCCAGGCCTCTGCTATGACTACAACTCAATTAGGTTTGTCTGGTTCATCTTCTTCAGGTAATATCCACACTTCGTGGATTTTTGATTCTGGTTGTTCACATCATATGACCCCCGTTGCATCTCTCCTCAATAATTGTGTCTCCCCATCTTCTTCTATCACTATTGCTACAGCTAATGGTTCTTCTATGCTTGTGCACTCTGTTGGTTCTATTTCCTCCTCCCATTTGGCTCTTTCTCCTGTATTATGTGCCTCACCTCTCACTCAGTTTTATTTCTATTAGTCAATTGTTTTTTCTTCTTCTTATTGTGTTGTGCAGGATCGGGTATCCAAGAGGCAGGTTGGGATCGGGCGTAGAGTTGGAGAACTATATATCTTGGATAGCTTGCATGTTCCTCCAGAAGTATCTTTTACAACATTGTCTTCTTTTTGTTTAAACAATAAGTCTTCTTTATTTTATATTTGGCATTCTAGGTTAGGTCATCTGTCGAGTGATCGTTTGAGGATGTTAGTTCAGTCTGAACATTTAGGAAATTTTTCCATTGATAATATTTCTAAGTGTCGTGGTTGTAAACTAGCTAAAATGTCTGCTCTTCCTTTTAATGAAAGTAGTTCTATTTCATCTTCTTATTTTCAATTGGTTCATATTGATGTTTGGGGTCTTTCCCCTATAGTTACTAAGGGTGGTTCGCAATATTATGTGTCTTTTGTGGATGATTACAGTAGGTTTACCTGGGTTTATTTGATGACTCGAAAATCTGATTTCTATAAAATATATTCTAATTTTCACTCCATGATTCGCACTCAGTTTTCCACCACCATTAAAGTTCTCTGTTCTGATTTGGGGGGTGTGTATTACTTGTTGGAGTTTGAGGAGTTTTTAGCTACTCATGGCACTATTCATCAGCCTTCGTGTTTTAACACTCCTGCCCAAAATGGTTGAGCTGAGCGTAAACATCGCCATTTTCTTGATACAGCTCGCTCTTTGTTGCTCTCGTCTTTTGTCCTGTCTGTTTTCTGGGGAGAAGCTGTGCTCACTACTGCATATCTTCTCAATCGGATGCCTACTCCTCTTCTTTCAGGCTCATCTTTGTATGAGCGTTTTTTTGGTGTTATTCCCAATTATTTTCTTCTTCGTATTTTCGGTTCTGCATGCTTTGTGCTCCTTCCAAAACAAGAGCGCTCTTAAGCTTAGTTCTTGTTGTGTCCTATGTGTCTTTTTTGGGTATGGCAGTAATCAGAAAGGTTATCGGTGTTATGATCCTGCCACCAAAAAGCTATACGTGTCTACGCATGTTACCTCTTAGAAAAACTACCCTACTACACTATACCTTTCACCCCTATCCCTATTACCAAGGATGAATTGGGTCATATTGACCCATTTCCTCCTGATGTTTCTCCCGATGAGTTTGTTTTTGATCTTGAGATCTCCACTTTGCCTTTTCCTAGCACTTTTGATATCTCACCAGCTATTTCCTCTCCAGCTCCTGCTTTCCCTGCTCCTCTTCTGAGCTTGCCTGTCTCTAGCTCTACTGTCCCTCCAGCTGTTTCTTTGGATCTCGCTCCTCATGCACATCGTTTTCCAAAGCGAGACCGTCATCCTCCAAATTGGTATGGTTTTCGTAATACATGTTTTTCCTTTTCCTATCAATCTTTTCTTTCTTGTCTTCATACTTATTTTGAGCCCAGGTTCTACAAGGAAGCTTGTCATGATCCCAATTGGATTGCTGCCATGACTGACGAGTTAACTGCTTTGGCTAACACTCAGACTTGGGATTTGGTTCCATTACCTGCTGGCAAGAATATTGTAGGCTGTAAATGGCTCTATAAGGTCAAAACCCTTTCTGATGGCTTTTTGGAACGGTACAAAGCTCGTTTGGTTGCCCAAGGCTTTTCTCAGGAGTATGGGATTGATTACGATGAGACTTTTGCCCCCGTTGCCAAGATGACTACTGTTCGCACTCTTATCTCTGTTGTTGCTGCCCATCACTAGCCTTTGTTTCAACTAGATGTCAAAAATGCTTTTCTGAATGGGCATCTTGCTAAAGAAGTGTATATGCGCCCTCCACCGGGTCTCTTTCATCCTCCTGGTGTTGTTTGTCGTCTTCGTTGTGCTCTATATGGTCTCAAGCAGTCTCCTCGTGCTTGGTATCAACGATTTCACTCTGTTGCACTTCAGCTTGGTTTTCGCCCTAGTCATCATGATTGTGCTCTCTTTGTTCGACGCACTTATATTGGCCTTATTTTCTTTCTCTTATATGTGGATGATATGATCATCACTAGCTTTGATTCTAGTACTATTAAGGAGGTTAAGCGTCAGTTGTTTCAAGAGTTTGAGATGAAAGATTTGGGGTCTCTTCGGCATTTTCTTGGTATTGAGGCTGTTACTTCTCCTACTGGGTATCTTCTCTCTCAGACTAAATATGCTCGTGATATTCTTTCTCGTGCCAATCTCACTGATGACAAAATTGTCGACACTCTTCTTGAGTTGCATGCTGAGTTTTCAGCTTCTGATGGTGTTCCTCTTAAGGATCCCACTGTGTATCGCGAG